ACATGATAGTTCTAGAAACGTTGCGTCATAGTAGTCACGTGACTCGCTGACGCAACAATATTAAGATGCATAACGTTGTTATAATTAAGTATTGGAAAGAGCAACATAACAAGTTTAGGCCCAATATCCTACTCAAGGTAGCACGATTGTTTTTCAATAATGTATCTTAACATATTATTAGTAGTAGAATGAAAGATCGTCCTTTAATTGTCAGTGATATTTTTATCCACAGGTTACGGGCACTCAACACCAGCCACATGGGGAGGGAAAACATTCTGCATGTTCTACGCCCTAGCAGGAATCCCGTTAGGCTTAGTTATGTTTCAGAGTATTGGTGAGCGGCTCAACACCTTCGTGGCCTACCTCCTGGAGAATGCAAAACGGTGCCTAAAGATGAAGAACACGGAGGTCACAGAAACCAACCTCATCTGTCTTGTGTCCATCCTCTCTACATTAGTGATGACCACAGGGGCAGCAGCCTTTTCTCGCTACGAACACTGGAATTACTTTGATGCCTTCTACTACTGTTTCATCACGTTAACGACGATAGGCTTTGGGGATTACGTAGCTCTACAAAAAGAAAGCGCACTCCAGAGTAAACCCGAGTACGTGGCCTTTAGTTTAGTGTTTATTCTTTTCGGCCTATCGGTTGTGTCGGCTGCAATGAACCTCCTCGTACTGCGATTCCTCACCATGAACACTGAGGACGAGCGTAGAGACGAGGCCGAGGCTCAGACTGCAGCCCAGGAAGCCGTGCGCTTAGAAGGCGATGTTATAACCGCAAATGGCAGTATTATTTCCGGCCGTGGACCAGGGACATCCGATTCTGATGACATTACTTCTGTTTGTTCGTGTACTTGCTACTCACACAGACGGACACCGAGACGTAGACAGTCTTTACGATCTCCTAGCAACAGTAAACACGTTCCTTTGTTCCCGTTGCAAATGCTCGGTGATTCGGAGGCGGAGTAAGTTCATATGTAAAACGCAAATCGAAAAACAGGGCAATAAAAACATGTGTTCTAAAGAAAGAGATCGGTGATTTATTTAACACACTAGATTTCGTTCACAACAATTTTTAAGATTGAGGAATGAGATAAAAATCTATACCTGATATTCGACACATCGTCTCAAACCGAGTTCAGCGAAGAGTGACATTTGATTAAAAACTATATAATATTGTTCTAATGATATATTTTGAATGCTGAATTTCTAAAATACAACTAAACAGTTTAACAATAAAATTGTATAGTATGGTATTAGAAATTCCTTACACTAATCTTTAGAATTTATGTTTCAGTTATTCCAGAAATAATGTTCTTTAGTAGATTTAATCAACTTTGAAGTTGGATATCTTAAGCCTCGTCTGTTAGATAGAGGACCGTTTTTGTTTATAACCGTCTAGTTGGTAAAAAACATTAGCATCTACATCAACACAAACTGAATTGAAAACGTCTTCCCTTGTACAGATAAATAAGCTAAGTATAAGGAGGTTCAGTATGTTATATTAAAATGTTTTAGAGTGTTACCATGTCATTGCATTTAATGTTGACACACCCGCTTATGTTCTATCTGGCAATAGCCATTTTCCAATTCTAAAGCATACCACTCATCTCAGCATGTGTTCCATAATCCATCTAGAATAAGATGACGACTGCGTCTGTTTCAACAGCTCGATTGCACAGACATATATAGGCACTACAACTGGCTATTTGACAGTATTTCTACGTATTGAATATCATGAATACCCAGTATATTCTCCGGTAGCTGGGAAAATCCGTTTTAACATCATGCAGCTACTGCACACGCGCTACAATTGTTCGTAAGTTGCCCGCACACGCGAGTGGCCCTTTTCAGGCCATGTCCACGGCTGTAACAACGTAGATACTTCATCATGTATAATAAAGCGTTTTAAGTGTTCTTAGAGAAGTAATTTTGTTCACAATTTTCTGGAAGTAGCCTATTGATCTACTTAGACGTTTGTCTGACAACATAGAGATGTTTGTGTAATTGTGTAGAAAGGTTGTGTTTGTGCATTTAGGAACTCTGTATGCTTTAGTGATTATTGAATTTTAGATTGTCTGCGGTTTGTTTGTATGTGATTTAGCTACATTTAACCATGCTGCCACTGGACATATAAAGGTTTTATAGAGTATGTTTTCAGTTGTTTTCAGTCAGACTTCATTTGCTCTTTGCCATATTTATTTCTAATAATTTCACTTACACGTTTTTTCCAACTTAGCTGTGAATAGTAGGTTAGGCCCAGGAATTTGTCTGATGTGGCTACCTGGAGAAGGTTTCCAATGAGGAATAATATTGTGGGTTGTTTACTTGTCTTGGTTGATTTTGTAAATAATATGATTTGTGTTTAGGGTGCTTTTATTTTAATTCTACATTTGTTGTAATAGTTGTACATTTAATTTAACTGTGGTTGTAAATTCGTCGCTGGTGGTTGTAATTTGTCGCTTTTATGGCTGAAGTATAAGAACTCTTCCAAATAGAAGCACAAACTTGGATCTAACAGGGTCATTTCACTCACATACACGATGAATAGTATAGGGCTAACTACCCCTCCTTGCGGGACACCTGCTTCCGGGGTAAAGTACTCTCAGAATACGTCCAATGCATTAAATCTAGCTTTTCTGTTGTCTAGAAAGTTGGAGAGCCAGCAAATAACACCTCGCTGTAGTTGGGACAGCTGGAATTTTAATTCGTTGTATCATACAGTGTCGAAAGATTCCTCAACATCGAGAAAGCAGGAGACAATGCATTCGTTCCGGTTAAAACTGTCTACTAGGGTTTCTGTGAGTCTTATTAGATGGTCTGTTTGTTTTGGAATACGTTTTGTATTTCCGGTAATTTTGATGTCAGTCCGAGGTAGGCCGAAAGTCTGGAACTGATTATTTTTTCTAGAAGCTTGCCAATACAGTTGGTTAGGCTGATTGGTCTGTAGCTTTCTGGTCTATTTGCTGGATTTCCTTCATTCAGAAGTATTAAGACGTCAGCTAGCTTCCAAACAGCTGGCATGTAGCCTGATTTCAGGGATAGATTAAATATTGCCGCTAGATGCTCGCACAATCGTGGTGTGCTTTTTTATTAGTATATATTGAATTTTGTCATGTTCCGGAGCCCTGTTTTTTGTCTTTTTTTTTAGAGTGTTTTGTGTTTCTGGTACTGTTATTGGTTTATTGGGTTGTGTGTTAGCTTGAGTGTTACAATTTTCTGGTTGGGCCTCTTGAGGATCGACCGGGAAGATAGGTTTGTATAAGCTTTTATTTGAGTTAATATAGTTGTTAATTTTATTGTAAAACCACGTGCTCATTATTGGTTCGTTTAGCGTTTTGAATGTTTTTCGATACATCTGTTTTGTGTGTTTACGTTGTCTTCGGTATAATTGTGTTGTAATATCGGATATGTATGTTTATTGTTATTGTTTTCACTGAATCGTTTTTTTTGGGGGGGGGGCAGAAGTTTTATGGGTCTGTATGAGTGTTACGTTTTGAACAGTATTTGTTCCATTTGTCTTCTTTAAGTTTTTATATTCTATTTCTTACAGTGTTTCTCAATGTATTTAGTTTGATTTTTAGTTCGTGTTCGTGTATATATTGCGTATTTTTCTGCGTCCATTTATTGTATTTATGAGCTGTTCGTGTGGTTTCCATATTTGGTTTTGGGATATACATTGTCTGCTGCATGTATAAGACATTTTGTGATCAGTAATTATCAATTATAGTTACAACTCTGTTAATAATCTTTTCCGGCAGATTTGTGGTTTAGTATTTCCTGTTATTTTTGCCAGTTTGTTTTTTTTGTAATTAAATTTAGGGGTATTTATTTGTTGGTTATAATTTAGGGGTATTTATTTGTTATAACTTAGGGGGTATTTATTTGTTGGTTATAACTTAGGGGTATTTATTTGTTGGTTATAACTTAGGGGTATTTATTTGTTGTTATAATTTAGGGGTATTTATTTGCTGGTTATAATTTAAGGGTATTTATTTGTTGGTTATAACTTAGGGGTATTTATTTGTTGGTTATAATTTAGGGATATTTATTTCTTGGTTATAATTTAGGGATATTTATTTGTTGGTTATAATTTAGGGATATTTATTTCTTGGTTATAATTTAGGGATATTTATTTGTTGGTTATAATTTAGGGGTATTTATTTCTTGGTTATAATTAAAGGATATTTATTTGTTGGTTATAATTTGGACTTAGATCGAAATCGCACCAAACTGGTAGGTGATCACTGTCTATATCCTCTTCAACATTAAAGGAAATGAAAGAGATTACTACAGACGCGGAGCATATACAGAGAACTACAACATCATTACTATTATACACTGGTGTATATTGTCACTTGGTAAGATGCTATTGGTGTCTTCTACTAATTCCACGAATATAAAGCTGTTCTTGCAGCACATCCGAATATTTCGTTGGAAATGTATTTATGGAGTTAATAACGATTTGTAAATCCGCCGGAAAGGCTGCCGGTCTGTGTCACACTTCATTAAATTGCAATTATCAACAGTTTTAACAGACGAAGATTTGTGAAGAACCAGTTATTTAACACTTTGTGTGAGGGCACCTTATTTATTTAACTAATAATAAAATATATATGTTGCAGGTTTCAAAGACAAAACTGTGAACGACTAGGATATAGCCACTCAAGGTATAAAATGTTCAATTTTGGCAGCGAAAAATTGTAAGTTCTCTAATATACTGTTACGATAGCGGAAGTCACGTGACGCTGGTAACACATAATGAGTATCTAGAAGGTTCGTGAAGGCTTGAGTGTTTGCCAGACTTGCTGTATTCTAATATATAAGCCCGACAATCAAAGCGAGAGGGAATTAATCGGAATTGGATAGCAGACAGAGAGATAGAGAGACAGATAATCGAGTCAAGCCGTAAGTAAAGTGTGTAAGTCATTGTGAATTATAGCGTGTGTTTAAGTTAAAGTGACTGTGGAAATTAAGTGTATTGCAAACTTGAATTGAGAAAGAATAAACTAGTTTTATTTAAGAAAGGGCTTGTATCGCTAAAGTTTCTCGGAAAGAATTTCTACGGAAAATTAACAAACGAACACAGACGTAACAATACGTTTAAGTTTCATGTAACGAATAAATGCACTACACTTTTCAAAATGTCACTCTTTACGTGCAATCTCAGACCATTTTTGTATAGAAAATACAGTTAAATTTATTGGTATCCATATGAATAATCAAACCAACACATCCTCAGATTTTCATTTTTTTTTTCCCCTTTGAACAACAGTGATGAAAACGTAATGGTTTAGAACTTTCTCTCAGGCAATAGTTCTTGCGTGAGAGTGTCGTGATTTCTATTCAGTTCTCATTTATCGACCTTTGTACCAAACATCTCTCCCAATACCCGTTGGTCCCTGTCTCTTTCTTCGCCATATTTATCCCGGCATCTTCGCCATATTTATCCCAATACCCGTTGGTCCCTGTCTCTTTCTTCGCCATATTTATCCCGCATCTTCGTACTTTATCTCGACAACTACTACAAACTTGACGTCATTTCTCGAATGTATCTTTCATGGTTAACAAAAAATTACCAGCGTCATTCAGTTGAATTCCTACGAAATTGAATAACATTAGATCCAAGAATAAATATTAATCAGATATTCAACATTCCAGGTTTATATGTTTACCACACTGAGACGTACATAGTTTGTAGCGATCGCGTTCTTTCATCAAATATGCAAATTCTTCCTGGATATTTTTTAAACATTTTCGTTTCTACTATTTTTCTTCCTTATAAGCCTCACTTTCATATGAATGTCACATATTTCCAGTCATGCCATCCTTGAAACCGTTGGTACGAGTAAGCCAACAAAACACAGTACTTTTTCCAATAAACTAAAATGTTTGAAATGTTTTGACGTTGTTTTTTTGTTTTGTTTACATTACTCTAACGACTTTTGATTAAATTATTTTGATT